TTACTTTCTTAGCAACTAAAGCCTAACTGAAAACTTTATAAACTTGAAGAACAGGAAAAAGTTTGAAAATTTAATATATTCTGCCTAAGACCTAAAAATCAAAACTGTAAATGCCCAAAATTCGAAAGTGCATGCGCAACAACGCTGTGCCTGAAATTCTCTTTGAAGCTTTTGTTAGCCTTTGAAAACGGGATAAAACAGTCAGTAGGATATCGAGGTTTCTTTCTTCCATGGACATGAACGTTTTCTAGCCGTTCGTGCTGGTGTTTCCACACGTTGCCTTTGTGTGATTGTGCCCTTCTACAGCGAACTACCCATGACCTTCAGAGCTGCACACTGGCACCGTTGTTACTCGTGACCTATATAAGAAGTAGTCTTCTGTAAGGTAGCGAATAGGGCGAGTTGGTAAGCGTTATACATGATGAAAACCGCTTAAACGACGACGACCGAGTGAAGACAACAAACACGACAAGACGAAGCTGTTCTCGAAACTAAAGGTTTGTTAGTCAAATTAACAGAAAGAGAACAGGGTAGCCGCCACTGATTACATGAACAAACACCTACCTATATATTAGGCACTACACAATATTTGGAGCTGAAACGGTTCACACACCGCTATTCATATTAGCTCGCAAAGAACAAACCTCTTTATCTGAGAGAGCTACCGATGGCGCACTGTCAGCTGTCAATAAATTGTTGTCTCTTTTACCGGTGTACGATGTTCTGATTTTATACTTGCGGCTTCATTAATATACAGAATGGGAGATTACAAATTTCTGAGGAATTAGTAGACATGCCTAATGAACTTAAAGAATATTACAAAAACGATGATTTATTCTTAATGAAGTGATGAATGCGAATTGTGTTAAATTGCCACGTTTGACGCAGAATCCGGTAAGTTAAAAAAAAAATGGTGATTTTCTCTCCGCATCCGCTCGATGGCCGGTGAGCTTTTCTCCGCATCTGCCAGTTTTGCGGTGAGCGTTTCTCCGGTGAGCTTATCTCCGGTGAGCTTTTCTCCGGTGAGCTTTTCTCCGCCGCCCACCTTTAGCATGCACGCAGCTTGTGCGATAGTGTTTCCGACGGAGAACTGCTGTATTCCGTAGTGGCGGGTGCACACAGACTACACAACACATTGGGAGTGACCGCTCTCGCGCAGTCGGAGGTCAGAACACAGCGCCAACTTCGGTGGCAGCTTTCGCGCGCAAACGATGAAGAGTAGTTTCACGGCGTCGTACACGCACATAAAACACTGCTCACAGTCAGATGTTACAATCGGTTTGCTTCTCTCCACTCTGAAATGCTTCCAGCCACGTTTGGAGAGTTCACGAATTCCCCGACCCCTCTGCGGCTGTGCCTTTTCGTCTTTTCGCCTTCATTCATTGTGGCTCGAAAACAAAAGCGGCGAAAACATGCCCTAACCGGAAAACGGCGACATGTCACGTCCGGACGCTCGCTGATTGGCTCAAGCGCGCGCATCGAGGGAAAAATTGGGTTCCGAGGAGTCGTCCTCCTCGGCGCGCGACTTTTTTTCAATACAAAAATAAGCGAAAAATTGCCCCCACGACACGCGTCTTTCCGCTGTGTGAATGCGCCTTTAAAGGGGCCCTTAAGTGTCCTCCTTTTTTGCGGTTTCCATGTCTCTCGTGGTTCGGGCAACCCAGCGGGCACGGAGAGAGTAACTAAATATCAGTGCGTCGTATTTTAACCGTACGACGCGGGAACCTCCTCCTCCTACGAGGGCGCCCCGTGATGTCGATAACGCGGCATGTGACGAAATCGCGACGTTTTTGGTTCCGACGTCAGCCGAGGCGAGAGCTGCCCCATTCCCTGGCAGCGTCTCCCCTCGGCTTTACCTCCTTTCCCCGTTTTCCCCTGCCTCCCCACATACCTCAGTCACCGCGGCAAGGGGAATCCTCCGGCGCGGGAAAAGGAGGGACAGAAGACCAAGGACGTCATGAAGGAGGTTATTTTTTCCTTATTTTTGTAATTTTAATATGCCTATAAGCTATAACCTGTAAAATAAAGCGAATTTCGAAAAAAGAAAGAGTCCACTAAATTACTACGATGAGCATGCTCAGGTTCGGGGCAAATTAATAAACAGTAAAAAAAGTCGTTGCAGGGTCCCTTTACGTACACCCAGTGATTTCCCTACACACACCCTGGGGGGCGAGTTACGAAGAGGGTCCGAGACTACGAGACTCAACAAAGGCTCCAGGACGCCCAAACAAAATTGACGCTGGGGGTGTACCTCGCCAACAAGACCATCGCCTCGGAAGTGTAGCCGCTTCTTGTTCAAGGCACGTGCCGGGGCACTCCAGACGCTGTGTTATAGCCGTCGTTTCGACACCACTGCTACGTCAAAAACGTGTAGGGTGCGTAGGGTAAACAATAAAATGGTGGAGCACTTCGTGCTAGACTGCGCGAGACTCAAGCTGTCCCAGTCACAGGACAATGGCCCAAGACTTCCGAAACCCTTCGCGCTCGCTGAAGCGTTGGGCTTCACCGACAGTGAAATCAGACAATTCACAGCAGTCTGCCTATCTACAGGGCTGAAGGTAGCCTCCAACGACACAAAAAGGCTTGTTGCAGACACAAAGAGGAGACTGAAGGACTGGTGGCAGAAGATTTACCTCAGGGAGCATTAAGACACCTATGCTCCCAGGCTTGGGCACAAACCCTGTTTGAGCCCTCCCGATTCAAAGGGAAATAGCATCATCATCATCATCATCTATTGCATACCACCAGTGTTTATCATAGTCGTGCAATGGGGTTTGGAAAGCTAAAAACTTGGGCTGAGCTTCTGATATTGTTTGAGTAGGGCTATCACCATCTTTAACTGAACACGAGCCATTACCCAAATGTTTGGCGATGCTGATTGTCACGAACCAGAGCACTCGACTGTTTGAAAATCGCTTACGTCACGGCGTCACATGCCTCTCAATGCAAAGCCGTGATGTTATGTTGCGTCACGCTGTCAACAAGGTTAGTAATCTAGCAACTTCCTCAAATTAAATCGACTTGACGCAGTGAGTTGCGTGACGTCACGGGGTTACATGACACTACTTGACAGCATGTATTGACACCACGACGTCACGCGACCACGACACATAATTGATCATAGTGCCAATGCAAAAGCGCCAAGTAAACCCACAATTTATCATAACTTGGAATTCTGTATATGGCGATTTGATCAATACATACATACAGCTGCCAGTTTTTTATTTCCAAATATTCATTTTGTTATAGTAACAAAAAAATAAAAAAATTACCTTGAACCGTTTTGAACTGGTTACTGTTATATTTTTTTCCCTGTTCGGTTCCGGTTCAGTTCCAAGATGGCGGTGAAGATTTTGGTTTGGTTTAGTTTCGGTTCGGCTAAAAATAATGGTTCGGTTCCAGTTTCCGGTTCGGTTCCGGTTCGACACCCGCTACAGAGCGACGGTGCGGTCGGCCATCTGAGAGAGCGTACCTCGCTTCATGTCTGCAAATTGGCCATGCCATATGCATAGCAGTTTGAGCGATTTTAATTTGCTTATAACTTCAAAAATAATGCAAAGTTTGCCAGGACGATTTTTTTCTCTGTGTTACTATGTTGCCTGAGGTTTATCTCAGCACAAGTTTTCGACCAGCCAAAAAATTATTGGAGGGCCCTTCCCTTTAAAACACCTCGGGATAGGGGGACTTTCAAGAAAAATTCCAGCAACAAGTTTTACACTCAAAGAACAAGAAGTGTGAAACTACTTGATTGAGCAGACTACTAAGCGATAAAGACAGCTATTTCTGGTAATCCTGTAATCAACAAAGTCCCGAATAGGGGTGTTGCGAACTTTTGTCGAACCAGATTTTAAGGTCGAACTTTCGGGGTTCGACTGGTTCGAACCGGTTCGATGAACCTTCAAACTTTTAACCAGATTCGACCGGTTCAACTTTGTGGACAGTGTGGTCACACCTTGATACAAGCATGTCTAGGTTTGGAGAATTTTTTTATGCAAAGGGTTATTTTAATTTTATGAACAGTTGCAATTAAAAGAAACTAATTCTAATCACTGAAAAAGTTAATAATAATTTTTTTTTTACGGTATTAACTAGAACCAATCAGTGCTGCCCTTAATTCATCCCTTAGCCATCACCATCCAATCCGAAGTCAACTGGCTAGCCTGTCATGCATGCCCATAGCAGTCAAATCTGAGTCTAACTTTTCACAAGAAGTTTGAAAAAGTCGAACCTGAGCGAACTCGAACCTTGAATGGTTCGCGACATCCCTAGTCCCAACCCTGCCAACAGAAGGCCTTGCTCTAACACGTGATACACTGCTGCCTCACCAGTGTGCCTCACATTGGCCAGGTGGCCAGGTGCTGGGAAAATAATCAATGCAATAACCGTACAACACAAACAAACTAATAAAAAAACTTCCAGCCTTTCCACTTTGGTGCAGAAGGAAGAGTAGCGGAGCTGTAGCTTATGTTATCGGTGGTGGCTTTCCAAGCAAGCGATCTGCTCTTCTTTCGCAAGGAATCTGATGGACTCGACGCAGTGGAACTTTAGGCGATAGCGGCCTCGCGGTGGTTGCGGAACCATTCGCGCTGCTGCGCACATCGCCGCTCGTTCCGTACCCACTCTTTTTCCTCCGGAGAAATGTTGCCGCCATCTATGAGCGACGGCAGCAACCAGTTGTCTGGTTGCCAAGGCTGGAAAGGTTGCCACGACCTATAAGCAACAGCGGCAAGCAGACAACCGGCAAACGCAACACTCTGGACAGCTACCGCCATCTGTGAGCGACGGCAGCAACCAGAGTGCTGTGTTGACCAAAGGTGTCGACATTTGTTTGGTACCGGACACGATCCTGGGGAAACTAGTTTTAACAGCTCCGCTGTAAAAAAAGAATACCAACATTTAGAAATCTACTGATTTTTGCTGATTATTCAAGCTGAAATCTACTATTTTCTGGGGAGCTGTACCCACACTGAGTGCCAGGCGGGAGAAAGCGACCGGTGGCACTTTACACACATGCTTTACGTTTATGATGGCAAGTAACGGGAACAAATTGAGGGTTGTAAAGATTTTTACACAGGGCAAGAGTTTTCAGCATGAACTGACTACGGAGGAGCTCAAAGAGGTCACGAAAGGTAAGCAATCTCTCTGCTCTTCTTTCACAAAAGATCACAATAAAACAATGATTCCTGAGACTTGTGTGCACACGGCTGCAGCAGTTCCACAAGATGTGACAGTGAACTCCCAGATCACGCTTGTCTCGCAGGAGGACACAATAAAGCAAGTGTTCCTCGTTGAGTTGTGCACATGTGGACACAGCAGTCCTACAAGATGTGACGCTGAAAAGGTACACTTCTGGACCTCATTTCTTTCACAGAAGATCACAATAGAACAACGGTTCCTGAGAGTTGAGTGCACAAGGGTGACACAGTTCCACAGGGTGTCAGAGTAAAAAAAACAGTACACTCCCAGGTCACACTTGTCTCACAGGTCACACTAATGTGACAGTTCCTGATAGAGTTGAGCGCACAGTGGCACAGCAGTTCCAGAAGATGTGACAGTGAACTCCCAAATTATGCTTATCTCAAAGAAGGTCACAATAAAGCAAGACTTATTCGTACGTGGACACAGTAGTCCCACATGGCATAGCAGCGAAAATGTTCACTCCCTGACCACTCGTTTCACAGAAGGTCACTTTAAAGCAACTGTTCCCGAGTTGCATGCACAAGGGTGCTGCAGCTCCACAAGTGACAACGAAAAAGTACATTTCCTGATCACTTTTGTCTTGTAGAAGATCACAATACATCCTGGTAGAGGTGCCACGAGGTAAAAACACACACTCAGGATGCCTCTGAGATGATGTCTCCTATTGTTGCAAAGTGCTCTTTCTTCTCTCTGGTCGAAGACTCGAGGGCTTCTGCTTTTTCCCTGGCCCTTGATACGATGCAGGAAGGTATTCCCGCCAGCGTGGCTACATTGAGGCCATAGCTTTTGGGAGCTATTCCAGGAACTAGACGGTAGAGGAAGGTCACCACCTCTGTGGAAGCAAGCACCTATTTGTTACCATCAAGGCACTCGGGTAAGGCCATATACGAAGTTGAGGCCAACTACAGTACACTCTTATTCATTCAAACTCCAGGAAGCCATGAAATTCATTTGAATTATCAGAAATTCATCAAAATATGATGCAAGGTAAATTATGATTTGCGACATGAATGACTACACATACAAAGCAGATATTTCATGACTTCCTTTGCATAGGCCTACTGATCATGTGCAGGTATGCCAGATATGAAATATTTGCGAAATGTATGACATAAGTTTATTTATCCTTCAAAAATGTTGTTTATCGTGGACTGTTTAGACAACACATGACAACTCAAAACAAAATTAAGCTTGTTCATGAGGTCAAGAAGTTGTCTGGTGCGGACTATTAAGGAGGGAACAGTTGAACGATGAAAACAGGCACCGCGCAGTAGTATTCACAGTAACTTACGCGGACGCTGTGACGTGGACCTATGCCATGTCGCCATGTTATAGCGTCCGCGTAAGTTGCCACGAAAATTTTCGCATGGTGCCCCTTTTCATAGCTCATATCTGCCTTGCTTGAGCCCTGTTGAGTGCTCTTCTCACCGAGCACCAGTGCACTGCGGAAAAGCAACACCCGTGAAAGCAAGCTCCGCGGGTGTTGATTCCCTGCAGTGCACTAATGCTCGGAAAGAAGCGCACTCAACGGGGCCACAAGAACAAAAGGTATGAATTACACGTCGGAACGTAAATACAGGGCAAACAAACGACAGACCAGAAGAAGAGTATAAACACAGACAAGGCACTGACTTACAACTGAAAGTTCAGTTGTAAGTCAGTGCCTGGTCTGTGTGTATACTCTTCTAATGGTCCGTTGTTTGTTTGCCCTGTATTTATGTTCCAATGCATCACCAACTCGCCCAGATTTCTACGCTTCTACAATGAATTACACGAAACGCTGTTCTAATTAAGTTCCGTATAAATACATTAAAAAACATAGCAGGACAACCAAAATTTTTAAATTTGTATGAATTAACCACGAGTACGAAATATCAGAGTTTAAATTATTACAAGCCTACTGTATCCTTTACTTCACATGGTCACCAAGTTTAGTCAATTTTCAACTTAAGGCAAATGCAGTATCGTAGAGTGGTGATTGCATTCACAATGAACTCCACACTTTAACTATAACTGTCTGTTCCATACCTTATGCAGTTAGGAACACTTATGCCTCTCAAATCAAACCACACGCTGCCGTTCTCTAATGGTAGCCCAAATAAATGTCCATTATGTATTTTTGTGCACGCTACTACCTATGGGCCATGAAAGTTGCAAATAGCAATGAAAGCCAAAAAGAGGCAACATCATAGAAATACATATTTCTTAGATATTGTATGTGCCCTCTTCGTTATAAGAGCAGATATATATATATTTTTTTTTAATAAAAGTCTCTATTCCAAAAAAATATCTGTACTCTTATAACGAAGGACAGGAGGCGACATACTGAGTATGGGAAGTGACAGGACTCCCAGCAAAATGTGGCCAATTTCATTTAAATTGAAGCACCATCATATGCTCATATATTTAATTTCTTTGTTGATTTTCTCTTGTTTTTTCTCTATGAATTTCTTTATTTGTTCACCTTATAATTGTATATGCTGTAGCTTACACAGAATGCAGTTCAAAGTTTAAAAATAGACAACAACTTTAATTTTTAAGAAATAAAACCTCAAACAAACAGAAAGCAGCAGGGTTTTAGATGATTGTAAGAAACTAGAGCTTTCTAGGTTACCTGAATTGTAAAACCATTTATCGGAGAGTTTATCGGACATTTTGGGGATATGTCCCAAGATATACAGAGCTCGACACAGAATCTGTCGTTTATCGATAAAAACTCTGGCGTCAGGTAGGGACCGTTGCTTACCGTCGTCATCGACGTTGAAGGCAACATGGCAATTGGTCACGGCGCCCTTGTACAAGGTCTCCATCTCTGTGATGGGCTGGTAGTGCGTCACAAAAAGGGTGAGGCACTGCTTCTGAAATTCGCAGCAGGAAGGCAACAGGGCCAGAAATAAATAAGAAATTATTTCAAAATGTCAGAGACTATTAAAAGCAACACTGGATAGCTAACAAGGTCATCCGGTGGTATTCACACTGCCTGGTGATAGTTACGAAATTGCAGAGGGAAGCCAATTGGTTTCGAAGGGCGAAGAGAGGAGTCGTGCTTCTGGTTTTCAGTTTCTAGGTTAGGTGGCGCAAGCAACCACCTGATATAGAAGGTACAGCCGTTAGCATCCATCCATCCATCCATGCAACTGTATATGAATACCACATGGAGGTGGGAAGAACAGGAGGCAACATACTGACTCAAGCCACCCAAACGAGACAATTCCAAGTGAAGCCGGAAGTAGAAGTCGCGGTCAATGGAAACAACTGGTAGCAGCGCGAAAAAAAGAGAAGGACAAAGGGAAGAATGCACAAGATCAGTGCTCGTCTTGTGCCTTCCTCCCTTAGTCCTTGTGCTTTCTGTGCACTGCTACCAGTTGTAATCATGAACCAACTCGCCTGCATCACCACATTGATTCATTGGGAACGCCCCAAAGGTGACCAAAACAGCCGTTAGTGCCAAATCAGCTGTCCCTATCGTCCAATAGCGTCTTTTGGTTTTGGTCATCGTTGGGGGCGTGTATCTCCAAACTAGAGGTCTACTCCGGCTTCACCTCCAGTGGCATTGTGTTGCCTCTAGAAGCTTCCTACCTCCATGGAATACCAACAGTAAAGTTAGATTTAATAAATTTAAATGCATCTTAACCCTTTAGATAACATCCAGAGACACAAAATGTGCATTTTGCGTTGCACAGGGTTCTTCATCAGCCTTTCTAAGCACAAGTGTCACACTAAATTCAGTGGGAAGCATTTCCCCTATAAATTTACGGGGTATGAACTCAGCGTAAATTTAGAGGGGAAAGGCTTCCCGACAAGTTTTGTAACATATTTAGTGGGGGCAAAAGTCCTGCTAAATTTAGTGCATTACACTTTTGCAGTACACTTCTCTGGGGGAGTTCTATATAAAACCCTAGCTCTAAACATATTCCGTATAAAAAGAAAGATTTATGCATGACTACAGTGAAACCCGTTTAGAACGAACACACGTACAGCGAATTATTGTCAATATCACACTCACAAAAAATTTAAATAAAAATGCATGTAAAACATACTTTTTATAACGAACAACACATTGGCTATATCAAGCTTTTCCCCCCCGGGAAGGCTTCCAAGAACGTGCAAACAATAGTCTTCTGACCTGTTCCCCCCCCTCCAAAAGAAAAATGTAGGCAAGAAATAAAACTCTAAAAGCTCAAGTTGTGAACAAAATTGAGCGAAGAAAAGCGATTCAGAAGGAGAAAAAGCTAAAAATAAACACTTTGCAGGCACGCGCAGAGAAAAACTTTTCATGCCAAAGCAATTGCCAACGAAGAGAAGCAATTCAAAAAAGAAAATAAGCTAAAAAAAAAAAAAACTGCACGCCAACAAAAAAAATTTTTTTTTTTTTTTGTTTAGCACATTGTTACAAGGCAGGAGCCAAGAGATGAGATAGAAAGATAAGCTCTCGCCTTACAACGAACGCATTGTGGAAGTTCGTTGTAAATGTTTTTTTCTATATCGAACAACTTGCTATATCAAACTGATCGTAGCGTTTCCTGCTGTTCGTTATAAACGGGTTTGACTGTATTGTGCTCGATTATTCTAGGAAATTTGAAGGCTATGTAGTTAGTAGCACCCTACAATAGTCCTTCGTTATAAAAAAGTGAACAAGATGGCAAAAAAATTCAGTATAAATGGTAATTCAATAAAGCAATAGAGCCAAAAAACATGCCAGCAGTCTTGAAGGTGGAGGGGAAGACTGCGCAGAACTCTGACTGTATATATAATTAAGGGGAGACACCCCCGGGGAGGGCCAACTTTTGAACCCTTGGCTTAAAATTAATGAAATTTAAAGGTTAGGCTGGTGGTCATGTGCATAACAAAATTTCAGGTCTGTTGATTAAGTAAGAAGGAAATTAGGGCAGCTTCTATCAGCAACACCCCTACATTGTTTAGTTGATCTATCGTCCGAAAACTATCACAATATTCAAGATTTTTGTTCACTAGATATGTAGCAGAATGCCCATGAGGTGTGCCTATGGAAAGCTTTTTGTAAAAAGTCATTGATTTCTATCAGTTTTCTCTTCTGCAAATTGGTCAACTTTTTGGTCTTCTGTGTTTCTGACAAAATGTCAACATTTTTTATAAAAGACATCCGTAAAGTGACAAACACATTCCTTATTAAATTTCAATCAGGAAAAGTGAAGAACGAGCCTTCCCTGTATTGCCATTATAAAACGATAGATTGACTAAAATGGAATTTATACCAAAAAGTGGAATGAAGAAAAATGTGTTCAAAGTGCTCCAAACCCTACATTTTCTTTAGCTTCGGTGGACAGATAATAATTTATAAACAAAATTAACTATGCAATGTAAACTAGTGAAAATTTCTGGGAATACTCTCTGGATGTAGATGGTGTAGATGGATGTAAATATGTAATTTTTCAAAATTAATGTTTTTTTGCAGAATTTTTTTTTTCTCCTGGGTAGTGTCCCCCTTTCAATAAATCTTTGTCATAAACAACAAGTTTCAGTTTTACTGAGAAAAAAAATAATTAAGTGGAGTTTGCCGGTAATTTCATCTGGGCAACAGCTCTCCTCGAACTGCTTCAGGCTGCAAGAAGACTGTCACCACCAATGCACGACACTTTGTTTCGAAGCAGTCGTCGGCTTTTCCCAAGGTGCATCTTCAACGTCGTTTTGTGTTGACCCTGGCTGCACGCAAGGTCTACAAGCGCAGCATCCGTGGCAGGAGCAACAATGAGAATGTCCACATCGACGAGTGCACCAGCTTCGCCAACATGTTTTCACACACTCCTGTAGAGACTGGTGCAGCTCTGGGAATTGTGCGCCGGCTCAACAAGCATGTTCTTGAGAGAAAATCCGACGTGAGCAAAGCAGAACCCGTCCAATATGCCTTGCTTGCTGTGCAAAATGGTGAACAGTGTCAAGCAGCCGATGCGAGAATGTCGAATTCTTTAAAAATTTCAGACTTGAACCAGCCACTTTTTTCAACCTCGCAGATCTAAGCGACTTTTGATAAACTCTCCCATACAAGACATCTGTGCGCGTACACACGTACGCCAAAAGTGCACACGTCGGGGGCTCTCAAAGGGACGATCTCTGGGTTCCATCAGCTCCATCGCTTCGTTGACCCGATTCCAACAGGAGTTAGGCAGCGTCGGCCGCAGGCGTCGTGAGTAGCGTTAGAACGTGGACGACGCTCCCGCTCCTCCCTGACCACAATGGCGCATCAGCATCAGAAGCGGCGCTCTGCGCGCTCTGACCTCCATCACCCATTTGCTCTGTTTTCTTTTTCGCCTTCTTCCCAGTTTGCCGTTTGCCTCGGTAAAGACGGGGAAGGGAACATGAAGGTCTCTGTGCACCTGTGTGTAAGCTTGCATGCTTTTGGCACCGCAGCCTTCGTAATAAGCGTGGTCAGCCACCGACACACTCCGAATTATCCGGTTAAAAATGCATGCATTTCGGTAGGGACCACGTTGAACTTTGGTAAAAGCGATAATTCGAAAAAAGCGATTTCATGATAATGAGGGATTACCATAGTTTGATAGACACTGGTGAAGTATTGGTTTCCGAATAAATCTTTAGCTGCATCAACTATCTCTAATGGTATGACAGTGCCAATGAAACCATAAAACAAAAGTATATCTGCAACACACTGCAAAAGAAAAGATAATATTTTGGAGCTGAGTGATGTAGCTTTCAAAAGACCATACTTGAATACTACAAATAGCTTTTCTGTGCACATCAATTTAAATATTGACTGCAGAAACTAATCGAGCAAAATGTGAATATTATAATGAAGTCATTGAGCACTCCATTTGTCATCAGCGGGAGCATACGAGCACATTCATAGAACCGCATCTGACGGTGACTGGCTTCAATTGACCACACCCTATCAAATAGGCCACTAGCTGAAAAGTATGCCTCTCTAACATAGATACTTTCGTGCTTGTATTTCCTGCTGGAATGCAGGATTGTATTGAGCTTTAGATCTTTTTGAGCAACGTGTATACACAAGCTCAAATCTTTGAAGTCACCATGCGGCAATGGTGCTCCTTTGTTTCCCGCATAAATTGCAGGCGTTTGGCACATGCCTGTGTCGCTTTGGTTCAAATGTAGCAGAGGCTACAAAAGCGAGCTCTGCACTTTAAACGGGCCTGCCAAACACTTACGCTAGTGCAGTACAAGAGTACTTAAGAAAAATTAAACGTTTACAAATCTCTGCAACACGAAATCAGTGTGCAGCTCTTGAGGCGGAGGAGGGGAGGGTATGCCCCTCCTCCTCCTCTGTACCTTCTTCCCCTCCCCTTTTCCTTGTCCTCCTCCTCTACCCTCCTCCCTTCCCCATCTTCGTCCCCTCCTCCTTCTCCTCCTCCTCACTTACTGCTCCTTCGCCTCCAGCGGAATGACATCAATTTTCCCGCTAGATCTAACGGAGAAACTGGTCCCTTTTTTTAATGCGAGAGCATTAACTGTCCCATGGAGCGAGCCAACGCCATCAGTTTGAAGCGCGAAAACGGCACCTTGTTTCCCTGATCCCAAAGGTTCCATTGGCTGGCGCACACGGCGACAAGGCTCCCATTGGCCGCTGCGCGCATCAGTTTCAACAACTGCTGCCAGATGGCGCTGCGTGTCTGTGCCGCCAGCGCGCCGATAAAACTAACCGCCGCAACCTCATGCCACTACGGGCCCCGCGCCGGTTAAAATGGACACGTTGCCACGCGCACTGAGGCTTCCGCTCGTCTCGCCGCCGACCAACATGCCATCGCATGTTGGTCGGCGGCGAGACGAGGCGGCTGTTCCTACCCATATTCCGCTGATAGTTCTGTGTCATCTTTACCGCACAATGTCATCCCCAGCCTTGCCATTCTTATTTCCCCCGCTTCATGTTTGCACAGCTGTATTAAAAGTCTTTTGCATTCTCGCGTGTGGCTGTGCTTGGAGTCCCGTGTCATAACTGTTGCCATATTATTATCAGAACTACCACTCAGAATAGTCTCATACCCCGCGTAATTATGCCAAAGTTCCTACGTGCTCCGAGTTGTGCCTTGCAAGTTTTCAGGGTCACAACTATTGTGAAATGTCGTAATTGGCTAAATAATTATTGAATTTCAAAACAAAGTAAATGTATTTTTCCACCTTAGCTTCTTTTTTTATTTTTACTACACCTTTAATTTTTGTACTTAAATAATTACCAAAGTTTATCTATTAAAGGGCAACTCCAGTCAAAAACGAAACCAAAATAAATGACTGGTATCGCTTTAGTGGCACGGATTAGGATCACAGCCGAAATATTACGTTGAAGTGAAGTTGCGTACTCCACTAAAACCGATTTTAAAGTTGCGGACAGCTGCTCTTTAGCGGGCGGTAAGCGGGTTAGATTTTAGTCGAGGAACACTGGCACAGCACCCCTGTGACATCACGTCGTGCTGGAGCTGCGGTTGATTGGTTGTACAGCGTACTGCAGCACCATGTTGACGCAACATCGCAACCGTACGGCTGATGATCAGTGTTGCCGTCCCTCTAGCAGATAGTTTCGGTTTTGCCGTAGGTGCCCGAAACCAAACTTTGAGCCGTGATATTTATAAAATTACGCACAATAACGAGAGAAAAAAAATTATACCTTGTAATTCAGAAACATTGATTTAGCTAAAAACAGTCATAATCTAAATTTTAAAAATACTGACTGGAGTTGCCCTTAAAATTCTTCGCCACTTACATTTACTTCTTCACTGTCCCCTGACACTGCGACAGATCCCCAATCCGGCCCCTTAGTTGTAAAGTTTGGGGGCCCCTGCCGTAGAACGTGAAGAGCAGACGGCTCGTGGCACAAACCTCTTCCACAAGGTGGCGCAGCGTGGCGAGCGCAATGGCAGTGCCATCGTGCGTTGCCGTGCCCCTGCCCAGCTCGTCGATCACCACCAGTGAGTGGGTGGTGCACTTGTCCAGGATCTCGGAGGTCTCCTGCATCTCACACAGGAATGTGCTCCTCCCCAGCGTTACGTCGTCCTCCGCACCCATCCTGCGTCGCAGACAACGACACTCAACTGTGGATGTAATACCGGGTTCGATCAAGAAAATAAAACCGGGATTTCCAGCCCATATAAACAAACTGTGTGTTGCAGAAAGCAGAAACTTCGTGAGAATGTGACGCTAGCGGTGGTGAGAGAATCTGGAAGTTTGAGAACGTAACGTTCCCTGGCACGAAAGATACAAAGGAAAAACAAAATTTCTCCTTGAGCCGACATTCACCTAAAGCTTTTAATGCGAGCAAAAAAATGCCATTGAGAGAGCCTCTAGCATTAGTTTTTTTGAAAAAGCTTGCCAGCAAGAAATAAAGCAATACTGTCTTTCTCCTTAGCCAGATTTTTTTTTCACTGTGTCACACCATGCATTATGTCACATGACATGACAGTTACGTGACCTTTCAACGTCGCACAACTTCATGCTTTCAGGTGACAGGATGTCATGTGATGTGACGTAATATTATGATGACATAATGTAATCACTATGACACCATCATGACGTCATCGGAAGTCACGTCACAATGACTTCATGACACCACTGTGACATTATGACAACATCAAGTCGTGATGGTCTTTTCCATAAAATTCGGTCGATAGAACACATTCTATGTTAAAACAATTACAGGCACGTTCATTTGACCAAACGCGATGAAATATGATAGCTTTACAAGAACATCATTAGTGAAAACAATTATGAAAGGAAATGGTATGGTGATGATATCATTGTAATATACCGTGCACAAATCGAAGATCACATCTAGAATGACGTCAAGAACAGCATCTAGGACAACCTCTAGGACGACCTCAAGAACGTCTAGGATGACCTGTAGGATGACCTCTAGGTTGACATTAAGGAGAATGTGAAGGACAGCATCTAGGACAATGTTAAAGACGACCTTAAGGATGACGTCTTAGAGGACGACCTCAAAGACGACCTCTAGGACGACGTGTAGGATGACCTCTAGGACAACCTCTAGGACGACATCAAGGACGTCAGGTCACGTCAGCCTCAGCTATTGATGCTCACGAGCTTACGCGACGGGCGCTGACACGGACCGAATTTACGCAACCAGCGCTTACGCGACCCTGCACTTCAGTCACGGGCATTACGTGACCTTGATTAGGCGACCTTGAGGACTTGACTTCGAGGACGAAGACATGACCTTGAGTGTGAATGGGCCTATAAAGCTACTGCTTTAAAAGAAGATAATAGTTGGTCTTGCTGACCTGACGTAGACTCCGTCAAGCAGGCTGATGGTGGCTGCCTCCGCGGGCACGTGGGACCCGACGTGGGCCATGATGGCGATGAGCGCCACTTGCCTCATGTAGGAGCTCTTGCCCCCCATGTTGGGCCCCGTGATGACGCAGCAGCGGAGGTCCTCCTACAATCACACATTTTACTATGGTGCCTGACACCTCGAGCCCGATGACGTCGTACAAGTGCCACGTTGTCGCCGGACACAATCATGGCGGTGTTGCAGCACCAATGGAGCATGTGGCCGACGCCTGTTCTGCTGCAGGTCACTTTCCAGCTTGACAGTCGACGGAAGTTTAAGCAGCCGAGACTTGGGACACGGCAACAACAGCAATGCCTGCGTTTGCTCTCATTTTTGGCCAGGACTTTAAGCTTCAACCGCCAGGATTGCGACATCCGACAGCGAGACATGCGGGCTTTTGTGAGGTCATTCGTTGCCACTTCGGGACTGCTTTCGAGGCACGGGCGGTGTAGGACGCTAAGTGCACCATTAAGGGGATGCGTCCCGGGCACAATAATTTTACCCCAAAAGAGATTATGACATGATTATGAGCTGCAAGTTTCTAACACAGAATCCGTTCCAAGGGACGGCTATCACCAAAGAAAATGCAACACGACACCATGGAACACCGTCCCACACCCACCAAATTTAGCGGGAACCAAGGTTTGGCAAATTGCTAGTAATTTCACTAGCTTTGGCATTAACAAAAGGTGTTACAAGAACGCTAAGCCATGCTGCGCCATGTAACACCACATGACCGCTTCTTGTATGACACTTTGACGTCGCATAACACCAAACTCATGATGTCACATGGTGTCAGCGCTGCCACCTCTGAGAAACACTAGTCCATTTCAAAACAAGTTTTCTTAAAGATATTACAGTGAACCCTTGAACCCCCAACAGTATGCACAGTGAGCTGGAAAAGCGAGGTTTAGCTCTCTATTCCGGTGGCTGCTAAATCATCTGCTCCCCCTCCCACCCCTCCCCCAAATCACCACTTTATCATCTTTACAGGTGTGACCCAAAGGACTGTCTTCACAATTCTAGTTGACTTCAACAACAGAGACTGCGGCACATCACAGGTGATGCTTGATAGAGAGTGGCATGTACGACACAATGGACCTCATATTGCAGCAACTACATTTCAGGTTGAGTGCTATATCGTTTCAAAGCAAATGCTACTTTCTTTATTTTCCAGACAAACTGCTAAAGAAGTCACTGGTAGCAGCTAGAGCCACTAAATAAGCTGCACTTTACAGTACCGACACTTTATTTCTTGACTGTCTCGCGGGCGCCGCCATTGGGTTGTCTAATGCATAGCAGACATAGATAGCGATAGTAACGATTAAAAAAATGCGACTTCCTCAGCTTTGGAAAGCGTGTCAGGAAGCTCAGGCAATATTGTTTCGCCCTGTTTCAAACGGTTTTAACGTTTCTGGAGAACGAAAAAGCATTGACAAGGGTGGAAGTTGGGCCAGTCGGTGATTCATAATATTTAAAAATTGCCTACTCTGCGTAAGAAAGTCAAGTCTGAATCGGATATGATAAGGACAAGCGGCTGCACGAAGAAGCATAAAACTTGATTCGCGGAGCGTGTGGAACAGGTCATGTACTCCGTCCCATTGTCATGCGGCCGTCAGTATGTAGGGCAGAGGGGCCGCTGCCTGAATGAATGTTTGAGGGAACATCGATACAATGCAGATATGCTTATATCGGGGCATCTCGGTGTGCACTGCAGAGGTTGTGGTTGTGCCCCCATCTTCACTGACTGTAACATACTACAGTCAAACCCGATTATATCGAACCCGGTTGATTCTAACTATCCCTTGTATCGAACTATTTGTGAACGGACTAATAGCTACAATAAAAAGTATAGTGAAAAATGCGTTTACATCGAACAAAATTTGCAGCTTCTCCCGATAGATCCAACTGCCAAGAGCACCGTTTAGCTCTTCAAGCTGGCTTTTTTTTCTTTTGAGCGGCAGCGTCGACTCCCCGGAAGAAAAAGAAAAATCTCTGTTGTGGAGGAAGCGAGGAGAGAGTGAGCTGGTAAGACTTTAAAAAACGAAGAAGCGGCCACTGAATAGCCGCGGTGAGCATTGCTCATAATGTACAGGCGCTCCTTTGAGAGTAAACAGCTTTTCTAAATGTGGCGTGCTTGATCGTTGGCAGATTCATTAAAACTTTTATATAGAATTTCCCGCCATATCGAACTGGTAGATGGTTTTTTGCGAGTTCCATATAAACGGGTTTGACTGTATACAAAAACAGATAGAAGATTACGCGGGGGATACTTGAGGCCCGAGAAATTGGTAGATTGGGACTGCAGTGTGACAGCACTGCGTCCCAATCTATAAAGGACTGCGGGCGGGAGAGCAGCTTATGTTGCTGTGTCTCTTGTGTGTCGGCGTGTGTCTGTGTTTCTTCATTGGCTTTTTTATGTTGACACCGGTTATAAAGTGAAATCTCATTAATTTGAACCCGAGGGGGACCAAAACTTTGTTTGAATAATGCAAAGTTTGAATTACCGAAAGTTTGCTCCCTAGAAACCCATAGGACAAGACATGCATGTTAGTTTGAATTATCCGCGAGTTTGAAGTAACGAGGTTCCACTATATGTAGTAAGTAGGTCACCACGGAAATAAAGTTCAGTAGTAAGTTAGCGCTGTGTCTCTGTCTATCTTCCTTGTCTGGGCATCAGTGTGCTTTTTAAATTTCAGGAAAAGTGTGTCCTGCAATTTCAGACAAAAAACTGGCAATTATGACTTTAAGCAACAAGACGGCCAAAGTGTCACAACTCTGAAGCGCAGCTGATGTAGTAGTTCCAGTAGTGGCAACAATCTCTGCTGTGACGACGCCGTAAAGGGTTGTCCACACAAGACACACTTTTAGCTGTGGACAGCATCTGCTAAAACAGAAGAGAAGGTTTTTTCCCCCACTTCCGGTTCAGTTTGAGACTTTTTCACCAGGGGCAAAGTCACCCTCCGCTACCGTTCTCAGACAAAGCCTTGGAGCGTGCTCGTGACATAGGGCAGGACGTAGCGAATCGCGCTCTCTGCTGGCTGTCGCCAAGGCCTACGCCGTTGTTGCCAGACCCCAAAAACAAGATAGGGGACAATACGACAGCGAGGAGGCGAGGAGGAAATCCACGCTGTTTGCGTGGTTCGTGTTCTCACTGAAAAGAAATGCACGGGCCACAACATTCTCGTTTTTTTATGCTTTTGCATGCTTTTTTGTTGCACACAGCAGAAAGCGCTTTCTGTTTGGACAGCCCTTAACTGGGACAACACGCATAATTTATGAAAAGTAACCGAGTTCGTACGCTGAGGTCCGTGTCGTTGCAGACGTATTGGGAGGTGGCTGTCACTCGCTGCTCGAGGATGGGATGTCTCCCCTTGGTAATGCGAAAGACCCTGCGCTCTTTGGGCAGCATCTGTGGCCTGTCAAAAGAAAACCAACACATTCTGTCGATCCGAGATGCCTAGTGAACCTTCAAGAATACTCTGTGAAAACAGGCTCTCTTGCTACGTCAGTAAGTTCATTATAATTAAACTACCTTATATGCCTTCACCAGCCCCACAAGCTTACTTTAGAACCTTTGCTACTGTCAGAGTCTTCAGAATATCAAAGCAACGTTGGAGCAGTGGCACGCAGAACCACCCCTCTCTCAGTGCCACTGCGACTCTTGTCTTTCAATAGCAGCGAATAACCCTAACAATATTTTCAAAGTAAAAATAACCATCCTCTAGAAAAAAAAATTATTGTTTACTAGCATAAGCTTACCTTAACCGTTTTCTCAGAAAAGTTGTACTAAGCTCATGATGCCACTCTACTGGCATTTAAGGTATTAAAAAGCATCTCCGCTTCATTTTTGTTTTTGAAAAAATAATGCTGTCCGCACGTCAAATATTACGACCTAGTTCTGTCTAAATGTTTCTTAAACAGTCCGGCAAACGTTGCAATTCGTCAAGTTGCCGAAATCGGCTGACTCAAGCAGGCTAATTGAGGCGTGGGCGTAGCCAACATTGAGCTAAACGTCATCACTGTTGCCCCTTTTTGCTTGTTTTTACTTTTCCGTGCAAGCGTAGCGGGTGACGTCAGCGACGTTTCCTCTCGACACTCAGCGGTGTCCACCTGACTGGCATAACGCGCCTGCACAGCACACTTTTTGGGAGCCATTCCGCCGCCCCGCCATGGTCTTGCCATTACCGCCGTTTCCTGTGTCACAACCGCTGTTGTCGTCTCACTGTTTGTGATTAATATCTCTCGGAGTTTTCTTTACACTACGGACACTATGTGCACAGACTTATGCCACAGTTGTGCAGACGTCATCAAATGTCATAGACACCAAAACGTGGTGAAAAGTGCGGACGAATCTTGTGCCCGGCACGTGCCCGCCCCAATCCCACCCGTCGTTGCGTAGAGGATCACGTGACATCTCGTACCACGTGATAGCCATGCTCTTGGCGGCCCAAGGCCAATGTTGCCTGACGGAGCCAAAAGTTTCGGTTTCGATTTCTGCTTGTCTTTTAAATTAGATTTAACAATATATATTCCATTTTTCACAAAGCAAATTAGAAGGTGTTTTTTGCTAGTGCTTTCTAATGTGAAATCACTCATTATTTCAAAATCTTCGAAATTAAGTGGAGTTTCCCTTTAAGGGGACACACCCCCTAGGGGGTTCAACTTTTGAACCCTTTTCTTAAAATTAATGAAATTTACAGGGTAGGCTGGCGGTCACACTAGAGGGTGTATAACGAAATTTCAGGTCTGTCGGTTAAATGAGAAGGAAATTAGAGTAGTTTCTATCAGAAACACGCCTACATTGTTTAGTTAATCTATCGTCAGAAAACTATCACGATATTCAAGATTTTTATCTGCTAGATATGTAGCAGAATGCCTAGAGGGTGCAGCTATGGAACGTTTTTTCTAAAAAGTTATTTATTTTTATAAATTTTCTCTTCTGCAAAATCGGTCAACTTTTTGGTCTTTTGTGTCTTCGACAAAATGTCAACATTTTTTATAAAAGACATTCGTAAAGTGGCAAAAAAGTTCCATAGCCGCATTCCTTATTAAATTTCAGTCAGGAAAAAGAAAGAATGAGCCTTCCCTGTTTTGCCATTATCAAACGATAGATTGACTAAAATGGAATTTATACCAAAAAGTGGAATGGAGAAAAATGCATTCAAAGTGCTCCGAACCCTACCTTTTCTTTAGCTTTGGTGGACAGAAAATAATTTATAAAAAATTAACTATGCAGTGAAAATTAATTGAACTTTTTGGGAATACTCTCTAGATGTTGGTCGATGTAAATATGTCATTTTTCAAAATCAGCTTTTTTTGCAGAAATTTTTTTTCCTAGGCCTTAATATAGAAAAGATATTGACACACTATAGGTCTCATTTTTGTAAGATGACCTTACAACAAAAAAGGACCTATGCGATTCATAGAATATTAACACACAAAGATCATGTATGAGAGAAAAGCATTATTCAATAACCCAGAAACCTTTAATGAATGTACTCCCGAGTTTGTTTTGGCATAGCGCGTTCGAAGAGTTTAAAATAGTTCAGCATCTTTTTCGAGCAATATGACTGATACCTCAACCTATCAGGGGTTCAGACATCATTGAACAAGAACTTTTGCGAAGAGGGCTATTTTCAAAATGATAAAGCTCATTATCTCATGTTGAGTATTGACAGAACTTATATGTATAGAAATGTCCCCACTTGTCCAGCCTGCTGGTCAAGTACCGCATTTTCCACTGTATAAGTCACATTGTTTTCCTCTCCAAATTTTTTGTCGGTGCATCTTGCATAACTATGCAACTTTATGGGTTTTTTTTTTTTATAAGTATGGACTTTGAGGGAGAAATTTTCCAGGAAGTTATTGAAAGCTGCACTCAAAGTTCCTCTCGTTTGTGCATATATTGCGATCATAATACTACACATAAGCTGTGGGCTTTTCTATGCAGCTTCACTGCGCTGACGGTACAAATAGAGAGGCTCGAATTATACAAGGGCGGAACTTATATACCAACATTTTACTGAAAACAGCTGTTTATAAAAGGGAGCAACTTATCGGCACCAGATTTATGAATTAAGCTTGGGTAGGAAAGGTGGGGGCGGTCTACAGAGAGATCCGACATCGTGAATGAATGTGACGTCACGGGTGAAGCATTGCCTAGATCTATTTGGTTGACCTAATATTTGCCATTTCGCCAAAAACTACCGTAGAATACCGTGCATCCGCCCATTCCACATTAACCGCCCATTAATTTGGGGAAATGAGCACAATACATTTATATGTAAAATTGATGACCGGACAAGCGCCCATCCCCCATTTTTTTGCGATTATCTCCAAAGGTTGAGTGGGCGCTTGCCCGGTATTTTACGGTAACTGTTTCTTCAAAAGAAAAAAGCTGGTGTATGTCATCCTCTTCCTGTATTATTCTTTCCGCTGGTGTTTGTCATTTTCTTCATAAAAAAAATGCCCACTGAGAGGCTTGGAAGGGGCAGTCACCCTCACCTCCCTTAAATCTGCCTCTGTGACCGAGAGACCGGAAAATTATGGTATTCTCTCCTGGTTTGAGTCCTTGATAAAACCAGTTAACCTGTTAAACCAACCTGCAGTATCCATATTGGGATGCTGTTCGTGCCAGGGAGAGGAAGCAGTCCACTGTCGCGATGGCTCTCACAGCTCGTTGATAGTTGTTGTAGCCCTGACTCACCTCCCTACAAGAAAAGAAAGAAAATTGCACCGTGCCCGGGTTACAGAAAGCTCGAAGACATGTACCGCTCATGAAATCCGGTTGAAGGTCCTCGTCGCCCCAGCATAAATTTAGCCTTTGCGTCTTTCCGAGGCAAACACAGTGGCAAGTCTGGATGCTTCTGGGACCTATATCTAGTCAAAAGAATGTCCATGCTCAAACACCGACTGTTCATTGAAGATATACGTGCACAAACATGCAATTTGTTTTGTGGACGACAGGTGCCTCAAATGTGGACGTTTCTTCGACCGCAGACTGTTTCTCCGAAAGCGTGGTCTATCCTGTGTCGTCTGTCGTTGCACGAAGTGAAGTGCAATTTCTAATTTCAGTGCACAATTGTTCACGCTAGTCGCCGCCGACGGAGTGAGAAAGGCAAGGTGTGACTTTCTTTCGAATAATCGACCTCCAGCACGCACTCCACGCTTTTCACTGTGTTTTAGCTGCATGTGCACATTCGAGGCTCAGAAGACGCAGAAGCATTGTCTCGAAGGTAGGAAGCTCTTGCTAGAGGAGGAACGACCGAAGCCCTTTTCTGTTATTCTCACCTTGTCAGCAGTTATAGAGAGTTTTGTTTATTAAATGCAAGTCCTGCGTCGTACACTGAAAAAGTTTCCCTCGCTTAATTCATATACCATCCAAGGCAATAAACTGCCATCCCAGAGGCTACGACTGCATTACAACACAAATGTGCCAGGCCCCGACATTTCTTTAAGCTAGATTGATCAGTTAAAGAAAAATGCATTGTGTCTTGCACGTTTCTGGCGTGACTAAACGTTTCCACGTTGAGGTTGTGGCATGTGCAAGTTTGTGCAGAAATGAGACTAAACTGGACTGGGGAATATAGAGTGTCACTGTTACGGTTTCTCCTTCTGCAGTGGTTCTCAAACGGGCCTCATGAGTCAAGCCCGGCAATAAAAGTTGGTTCAACCTGGTATCGTCTTCTAGTTGGTATTAGCCTAAGAGTTCTTCTCGGGAAAGTTAATAGCCGCCGTCAGCCTTGAAAAGCAGAGAGGTCCTTCGGTAGATGTCGTGCCAAAGCATCGTTAGGGCTATAGTAAGTGACCATTCTAGGTATTCCAGACGTGCCAGTGACCTAAAAAAAACACTAAAATCCTGAAAAACATTTTTGTTTCTTTTAGTATCGGAGGGCGTGGATACCACAAAATAGAGTTCCCCCTCCCACCCTTTCAAAGGAAAAAAAAGAAAAATTTCAGTGCAATATATGCAAGACAAAAAATATGACACATTTTTAGTTGGGAGTGATTCCAAAACATGTTTCTACAGTGTGTCCCCAAAAATATGTAGTGCTTTTTTTTTTTTTTTCCGCAAAAATAAACCATGCATTGCTAAACGCTCATTCTCTGCCTAAATGCAGGGCCAGCAGTCTGAATCAGTCGCCAAAGTTTCAGAACTAACCATGATCTCAATCAAAAGTTGTGATTTTCTAAAAATTTCAATGAAAAAATGGGGCCCCTTTTTTTTTTCATTTTCAGCAACTGGTGCCATTCAGCTCCATGTAACATTTCAGAGCTCCGTCGGCCACCATTATCCCACTAAAAATTTAAGAAAATCGCTTGTAACTTTTGAATAAGAGATAACGGTTAGTTCTGAAATTTCGGCACCTGGTTCAGACCACTAGGGAACAATTTGAAGAAAGGTAGTTGGTTTTTGTGGTTGAGAAAACAATGTAAATTTTGGCGGGGATACCCTGTATTTTCTGACATTGACCTCAAAATAGAGGAATCACTCCTAACTCAAAGTGAGTCTCGTGATGTGAATGCTGTGCTACAAACCTTTTTTTCCTTTTTTTATTTATGTAGAAAGTTTACTTTGTGGCATAACATATTCCATCCAAACACTCAAAAAGTCGTTTCTTTAAAAGTTCAGTGTTTATTTGAGTACCAAAGCTTCCAAAGCATTACTGATTTAGCAGTACATAACATAAGTGATGCGAAAAGGCAAGCACACACGTGCAACACGCAGGAAAGGGACTTTTGATAGCACACTCACCCGAGGAAGGCGTTCCACGTTTTGCGACTCTCAACGAGCACCAGCTCTTGGCCGACGCACAGTTCTTTGTAGAGCGAATCCACGGCCGGTGAACGGAACCGCTCTGCCGTTTTCATCCTGCCATCCGAAACGTTGACGATTGTTCAGTCGTGGGACAAAGACACAGACTTCCAGATGCAAGAAAACTCTGCAATGTCCTCCAGTCGAAATTACAATGAGAAGGGCTCCCTCCTCAAATGGATGGCATCCAGCCCTGTAGGGCACTTTCACATGATCTACTTCCAGCTCGGAAACTCGCCGGACGCCAAGTTGGTGAACGATTGTCGAATGTCCTCCCGTGCGCAAAAACTGTGCATTCCAGCTCGGTTAAGTTGTTTTTTTTTTGTCATAATCGATTGTGTCTGACGAAGTAGTCAGCGGCACAAAGGAGCATCGTCTTATACTCGATTCTTACAAATGCCGGTCTTTGTTTGGACTTCGGACGAGCTGACGATAGAGAAGTCGACCTGTCGGCGGCCGAAATAGCCCAGGTAGACGCCGCCGGAGTGAATTTGGAAGGAAGAAATGCAGAGTAAGCATGGGCTTATGCGGCCCAAATATGTTCCCGGTCGTAGGTACCAAGTTCCGTCATCGACAGAGTCACTGACCATATGCTTGTGCGTTTCACCAACACGAAAAATGACACTAATAACTAAGCGTCTGCATAAAAACTAATGGCGAAAGTGGCAGAGGCTGTTCATCCAAAACCAAATGCAACTTAGCTTTCCAGAAGTGAAAAGGCGTTTTGGGAAACCGCCTTGCACTCAACGTGCCTTCCGTCGTGGCGCGTTCAAAAACTATGAAACCCGAAGTCAAAAAGCCGACGACACCTTTCGCCCTTTTCCCTATTCATTTGCAGGTGAGCGATTCTTCATTAGTGTCGTCTTTGATGCTCATGAAATGCAGAACCAAATAGACGTCTCTTCTGACAACACAAGCCAAGAAATACAATCGGGTACATATTTGGGGTGCTTAAACCCAAGCCTGCAGCGTTTTTTCCCTCTTTAAAACCGTCCTGGCAGCATCTGCCCGAGTCATTTTGGCCGCCAACAAGCCGACTTCTGGGGTTTCGGCTCATTCTGAGTCCGAAACAAAAACCAGCATGTTTTAAAATGCAGTACTAGCCGACGCTCCTTTATGCTCCCAAACAGACTGGCTGCCGCCATCGATCACGACGCAAGAGAATTCGATCTGGAAAACACGGCCTCCACGGATGCAGAGACTTGAGACAAGAGCAGACAAAAGTCACCAACATAGATTCTGCCAAGATTTTCCAATGACAGCCAATTAGTGTCCAAAACGAAAACAGCAAATGCTAGAAACTCAGCAGCTGCACCCTTCCTGGCTTTAGAAACACAGCCCTTCCCTCCATCTAGCCGACTTACGAGCTGATCTTGAGCCAGTTGGAAGGAACTGATGACAGCCGCCGGGTCGGTACCTCAATCAGATACTGCAAGGGGAGACCAAAAACAAATGTATTTAGCCATGTTCAAAGTGCCTCGGAAAGTTCTCCGATTGTTGCGTTAATATATGAAAACTGACTATGACGGTAAGTGCTTCTTAAAAGTCCCCTATTTTTACATTCTCGACCATTCGGAAAAAACGTCAGAGGTATCCGAAAATACCAAATAACAGCAATGCACAACCTACCAAGTTTTGCCGTGGTTACCAAACCTGAACTGAAATAAGTTTGGATTAAAATTTGGAACGGCGAAAATAAAAGTGGGCCGTCATCTTCTTTGTTTCGATATTCCAGCCATACAAGGTGTTTCAGCTGACTTGTGCCAAGACTTAAAAGAACTTAGCACAGGCTACGCAAGTCAATCTATTGCGCTATTGCTCACAGTCCTATTGAGGGAGCGACGGTATAATTTGCGGTGCGCCAAACTGGCTAATTAATGCAGATTTATTAGAAATCTTTTATAATATTAATTTTTTCACAGACTTGCTAATACAGAAGTTTTAGGGTATGTTGAGAAACATCCCATTGTGTCATTTCCATTGTGGCAGCCCTAATGTGTCTCATTTTTGCAACCTTTAAAGAAAGTTCACGAGATTTTCAAAAATACTGCATGACTACCCACTAGCAAACTGCAATGCCCTAATCAAATTTTTTTTTTTATTGTTTGAGTAAAGAATACGCAAGGTTAGGTGGCTAGTTGGTCAGTCTAAATGAGAGACAAAAGGTCACTGAATTGCTATTGAATTATTACTAAAAAATCAGTGACTGGCTTCCACATCCCCTTTTTTCGTGCAAGGCGGGTGAAGTGTCTGACAAGGTATGAAGAGGACACTGGGAAAAGTTTTCTGTCAGGCAGAAAATCATTTCGTATGTCAGCCTTTACCGTGTTTGCACGATCCTAACGTGCCCCTAATTCTAATGCGCAGGCAGATTTAGCTTCCAGATATTCAAAGAGTAAATTGCTGCCGATTCTTCCGCACAGGTAAAACATCTAAGGTCTTTATGAAATGCACGCCAATACAAAAAAAAAAAAAATACTGTACACTAGTTGCTGCTGTTGGAGTCCGACGATGGTTATTCGCTGTCCACAGAGGTAATCCTTGTTTTCGTCTAAAGTGCTTCAGGTGCCACGCTTCTTGCACTTGTATGAGTGCGCGACCGTTGCCTCTAGGAGGGTGGTCTTCCAAACAACTTTGCGAGCTCATCGGGTCGCTGGGGCTGCGAGGCCATGCAGTACTGCTCATTTATCCTTTCCCCCCAGTGTACTAGCCTTTCGTTTGAAGAAAGCCTCCAAGCAGAATGTCTTTTGTTCTTCCATCGAGTTCGTAGGTGCGAGGAGATACACATGTTACAGATATCAAAATGGCGAATGTAAACAAACGGTCACGATGGCGATGGGGCTAGGCACCTTATGAGCATTTTTCTTTTTGAGTTCTGGTTTTCAGTTTGGATTGTAACGCACATGTATTTTTGGGCACCGATTTTGGCAAAAAAAAAGTGCACGTTAGACTCATGCAAACACGGTAGGCGAGCTACTCTTTACGAGATTCCACTGTAATGAACTGATACCGTTCCGCACTGCCCTAAGGCTGGTGCACACAATAGTGTTTGGTTGGAAGCAAGCATGTTGTGCAGCCTTGTGCAGCCTTATGACGAAAGAGCACACTGACATGCTGTTCCCTCAAGTGAAGGTTTTGCACTATTTGCACAAAAATTTGCAGTTCACTAGAATGAAGGTTTCCCTACAGCTCACCAAAACAAAGGTTTTACTGTAGTTAACTAAAGCAAAGGTTCTTCAGCAGTTCACTAGAGCAAAGGTTTTGCCGCAGTTCCCTGGCAAGATAAGATGTACCTACTATCTGTGAAAAATGGTCATTTATAACGTTGTTGAAAGTTTTTAAACCAAAAGAGAAATGATGCACAAGAAAGACACAAGAAAATATGTGGAAATGCTCACTGTTCCACGGCTACGCGATCAATGGCGGCAGTCTGTTCTTTTGTCATAAGAGGATTCGAATTCTTTAACCTTTTGAGAGTTGGGTTTCTTGTCCCGCATGTCGAACGCAAATTTTGGTCCCGTGCAGAGAAACTGTAGCCCGCTTCATGAAGCATACTTAAGGGGTGTCCAAACAGGACACTACAAAACGCACGACCCCGACAAATCGTGAAAATTGAAGCGGACGCTTCTATTTTTACAATTTGTCGGAGTCAATAAAATTTTTGCAGGAGTCGTGAAAATTTTCACGAACACGGCTTCTCTCCTCGCCCTCCTCCACTTTTCTCTGACGTCACACGACACCTGCATCTGGCTCACCTCGCCAACGCCCTCGCGTACCGCCGTCGCCTTGGCTCGAAGGCCAAGGAGGTCCGGCTTCAGGTGGATTTGGGACTTTCCTGCATCGAGGGGTGCGTTTCGCCCGCCTCAAATCTGCTTTCTTTGTCGAGATTCCCTTTCGTCGTGATGGCATCCGACGCGGTTCCGTATTGTGAGCGGAGGCCTTGAGCGATTCACCGACAGCCAACAAAGCGTGTGAGTGGCGCTCCGGACCCACGTGATGAGCAGAGCAAGGCCGCCGTGGAGGAAGCGAGGGGGACATTTGTCGGAGGGAAGTTTCCCCTCGGGAGCTTTGACGGAGGGAAATTTCCCCCCGACGGCCGGAAGCGGAGCGCTGCACGATTTGCCGGAGTCGTGAGTTTTGTAGTATCCCGTTTGGACAGGCCTTTACTTAACGAAGACACGCCGATCTATGGGCTCAAAGTTAACTGGTGTCTTGGTGTCTCCAACCTAGGATATTTTTCTTGAATAACGCTTTCGAGACAGTACTGTGCAGAGTGGTCTTAACCAACATTTTTTAATTCGGAAGTGGGACTTTCTTATTTAGTTTAGTGCACAAAAATAATTTATTACATATTTCTAGATTTCCATGTTCTCTGTAAAACATGAGGTTGAAGGAGAGATGTGCCTTTCCGTAACAAGGACAAAGCAAACCGAAACAGAAGTCTCCTAAACAAAACTTTCCATGTGTTGTCAACAAGTGTTATTACGAAGCAAAAACAATACTCTGCAGATACAAATAAAATCAACAATCCAGTTGAGAGGTAGGGAGAAAATCAAAACTGAAACCTGCGTGGGAGCATGCCCAAGCATTCTCGGGCATGGCACTCGAAAGGTTGAGGAACTCGGTGGTATTTAGGCTAGGTGGCGCAAGCTACCGCCCGTTATAAGGAGTACAGTGTTAGCATTCATTCATCCATTCATCGGTAAGCTGTCGCAAGTGTGTTAACGAGACTTTAGGCTGTATCGTCTAAGTGGGGAAAGTTGCGTCAAACCCTGACGGAAGTCGACATGGCCGGAGTGGGACCTCACCGGCATTCCGCTGACAGTCTTGTAGTCAAAGGTGAGGAGCCCAAGCTGCCCTGCTATGGTCTTCTTCAGGGCAGCCAGTTTCTCTTCGGTGTTAATGACGTCTTGCTTCCTCTGCATTAGGTCTGGCCAGTGGGACAGGTCGGTGAAGAGCCCCGCCATGTTGTTGGACCTGGGAAGGGAGAGCCAGTTCGTACTTTAAGGCTGGTTTGCACGTCTGCATGTGACCATGACAGTTTTGCATCCACCATGGTGTTTAAAAGGAATGCCTCAACTGACGTAGTTTGCAGCAAACAATTGTTGCAAGTAGTATGTCTTTGGAGGTGCTGTGTGGGTGCTTGCTTTGGTAGCTAAACTGGCATAAGCCTACTGCTTATTAAAAATGCTGGTTCCCATGAAAGCGGCACCACTGCCCTGTGAGTTGTGCAACCATTGTGACTGCAACAATAGTTTCAGTCCTGGAGGGATACCTGCACAGATAAAAATTTGTCAACCATTTCACTCGAAGCCATTGGGTGTTCGCCACACGTCAGGTCTGTCCGGGTATGTTCCTGTCATTTAGTTCCGGAAGGCTTGTAGCTCTAAGTTTTGAGCAGGCAAAACAAATATATTTAGGTTAAGTTTTAATTGTGCATCATGGTGCTCACCCACCTTGCTCCAGACACTATGCAAGAAAGCAAGAACAGAAAAGCTGAAAGAACTAAGTACATAATACTTTTGCTGACATTTTTTGTCCTCTCAGTCGCTTTTTAGCGCTCATCGATAGACGCTGACAAACGCTTGTATTAGACCGTGGCTCATGTATGATGGAACACTAGAGCATTGCTTTCATGGTTACATCTTGCACACGTTGCAGACGATGGCAGAGTGTGTTATAATAGCAGGTGGTGCCGTACGCTGCCATGTGTCTGCTTTCACAACTAGAAGGTAACTTCAGATGGCAGACTACATGCACTGGATGTCGCGACAGGGAGATATCAGGCTTGCATATGTGCTCGGCCGAGCAGCCAAGCCAATCCAGTAGTGATAGGCAAGGCCACCATTAAATGTGATAAAGATGTTTATTGGCACAATATCCACAGAGCCGAGTGCCTGAGGCAGCCAAAAGGCTTAACCCCATACAACCAAGTGCTGGCTGCCTCCTCGGCTGTGTGTTAAGGGGGGACACTACCTTGAATTGCACCTTTTTTTTTAAAAAAAATGCATATTCAGAACTGCTAAGTTTTGGCATGTATGGATAACAAAGAACACTCTCACAAAGTCTTGTCAATGTGCACTGACAAACAATGTCAAAAATAATTATTCTTTATATGCTGGTGAGGAGGGCTGCACTGCGTAGCACTCGTCATCCACAAGTGAAAATAGCTGAAAGCAATGTCAGTATATCAGAAGAAGTTTGAGGAAGACATCACCTACACTGGAGGAAAAAATTTTTGACATTTAAGACACAAAAATAAATTTTTAAAACTTCATCATGAAACTTCAAGTGCATTTATCTTTGCTTCACTTTTTAGTGTCAAATATCAGTTCAGGGAAGCTATCATTTCATAATCAAATTGTGCGTGCAGATATATTTTGGTTTCACTATATTGAAATTTTCTGGAGAACACGACTGTGAACTTTCTTCATTTTTATGCTCTTTTGTTATGAAAAGTTTATATTTCTTTTAAATCAAATGTAAATAAAAAAAGTTTTTTTCCATATTTTTTTTGTGAATAAATTTTTATAATTTTTGAAATTTCTTTTCATAGTCGTCTGAAGCAAGTATTCTGGTGTATGTTCCAGCAAAAAAACTGGCCATTTTCATTACCCTTTCTAAACGATAGCTTTCCTCAGCAGATACACTTTTTTATTATGAACTTTTATGTAACTCATCGTGGGATAAATTTATAGGGTTGAAAATTTCCACAGCATCCTTGTCCAGTGCTATGAGGACACCCTGCAAATTTCATGCAAATAAGACAGACGGTTCAAAAGTTAGCCTTCTGGAGTAGTGTTCCCCCTTAAAGGAGTCATGAAACGCTTTTCCAACTTTTTCCTGTTCAGCTTTCCTTCTCAAATCATAAATCGCGCATTCTACCAAACAGTTCAAGAAGACGGAAAGAAGGGAGTCCTCTCTTGCTCAAAATCTCGTTTATGTACCCGGGCACAGCCATTCTTTCCCTAGAAGATTAGCCCGTCGCTCAAAATTCAGACGAAAGTTGCTTTCCCCACCCCATTCACCCCGAAGCTGACAGTGCTGTGGAAGTTACGTGCTCGTTAGACCAGCCACACTTTTGCCACGCGATCACGCTCTCTCGTGCATACCCACGCGCAGAGAATGAGGTCAGGTGATGAAAGGGAGGCGGCTGATTGGTCCGGCAAGCGCGTAGCTTCTACCACAATGTCAGCTTAGGGGTAAAGGGATTAAGGGAGGTCCGGTGCCATGTGACGTGTGTTTGGACCTGGTGACGTGCTGCGGGGGCCCTGTGACGTGCTGCAGGGTCCGCGGATGTATCCCTGTGAACAGGCAGAGAGCTTACGAAGGGAAGAAAGTATGAAATAGTCCGCTGTGTTTTCAAATTTTCTTACCAAAAGTCAGGCTTTTGACTTTCTACCTTTTTTCTTGTGGTCCACTGAACGATGTGCTATTAGTAAAGTCCCAATATAAATTGACTATTTCCAGCCCAAAATTCGTTTCATGGGCCCTTTAACAGGTAAAAAGATGTAGAAAGAAGTGGTTGGGTTACACAAAGCGTATTGAGCACGGAGGACGCGACACAATCCTGTTGAAGTCGCAGGGTTTGTCCCCAGCCCAAGACAAAAGCGGGCGCGTGGACTCCGACAAAGACAAGTATGCGCCCACCACGGAGGGGAACAGTGAAGCTTCATGCCGCCGGGTGCGGGCGCGGAGAGGGATGAGACAGCCTGTCCGGCTAGAGATCCAGAGGACCGAGGCTAGGAAGAGAAGCCAGCACCAACAACGACGAATCAGATATGCGCCACCGTTCGACGGTGGCTCTGGCTGTACCAGCCAACGACCGCAGATGTTCGTTGTAGTCTGAGGAATGGTCATGGTGGGCCAAGGTTCGAGTCGCATGGCGCTGCACACTCTCTAGGCGCTCAGTGAGGTGGATCTGGAGAGGGCTCCAGATGACAAAGCAGTACTCTAATTGAGGGAACACCAGAGCAGTATACAGCGTCTTCAGAGACACTCATCCGAAATGCCGAGAAAATCTGGACGCAAAGCCCAGTAGAGCGCGAGACCTGTTCACCACACCACATGATGGCCGAAATCGAGTGATGGCGTGAATGATATGCCCAAGGTGTCGAGCTCCTGTACAGACGGGAGAAGGAACCCTCGTGTAGTGTGGTGACTAGACCTTCCAGGCCGAAATGAACCCCATCACGGCACACTTGCTGTAGCTGGAGGTGGTTAGTGGAAGACCAGACAGCCACCATGTCCAGGTGGCTGTCTGGACATGGCTGTGGGTGGAGCTTAGAGCGGGCCGTGACCTTCTCCTAAATTGCGTCTCACAGTCTCACAGCATAAATACTGCGTAGTGTAAATATTTATAATTATGCTTTATAAGACGGTGAGTACACAGCACAGAAAAGACAACACAGGATAAAGTAAAACACACACAGCGCTAACTTGCAATTAAAGTATGTATTGTCAAGCCCGTGGAATATATACCAGCAAAACGAGATACGTAGCAAACTACCGGCCACTTGCAATACACCCTTTTCAAAGCCCTGTCAAGCAACATTGGTGGTCGCCATTTTGTGGGTACGAAATGTGTGAATGGTTCCGAGTCCTTGCTGAGCGCTGATGCGGTCCTCGCATCCAATGCACACTCGGGGTATGTGCCCAAACAATGGCAGACTTGCGCAATTGGCGCAGCAGATACCGAATGGCGCACACTTTGGAGACGGGCCTATTACGTTCGTAACAATGCCTTTATTAACTCTATGAAACTGGAAGTGGTGCACCCACCTTGCTGCTTGAGCATCCAGGCACCTCAGGTGACATCCAACGTCTGCAAGAAGTTCCGTGGCACCCAAAAAGCACGTCTTCAATGCCGCGCTGCTCACGCCCAGTGTCAGGTCGCTCTGGAGCGAACTGAAGAGATCTCGTACCGAGGCAAGAGAAGTGAGAATCTCAAATGCGTCCGAGGGCTTCACCTGCGTACAAAGCGAAGGAGAAAGCACCATAATCTTTTTAAAGCGACAGCCTTACACGAGTGCCCTCCTTCTTGCTCGTGTTGGTCCAACCGCATGACGTCACAAAATATCACAAAATAGATGTTATCATAAGCACCAGTCTAAACTCCCAAAATATCATATCGAAGCATATATAGGTATTTGTTTTTCTCTAGAACAATATATAAATAAATTAGCTTTCCGCCAAATATTGTGTCAATAAACTGTCTGCAGATATTTGTGAACGGGATGTCAAATTTACCGTAAAATCTCAAGAGATGCCCCACTCCCAAAAGGTAACCCACCCCTATTTTTGACTTGATTGTTGGCTCTTTTATTGGAAACGTCGAAAGATAGCCTACTCCTAGTAATCGTAGTGTTTGGATCAATGATGACCTTGGCGTAAATATGTCTAGTTAGCTATAGCGGAATATAAGCGAACATTGCTGACTGGGGAGTACAGTCATCTTCGCTTCATTGTCCCTCGCCACGATAACAAGTTTGGTAGGGACACATGATCTAGAAAAAACATGTTTTCAACTTTTCTTGATTACAGATCGGAAGTTAGAACACTCCTCATTTTCATCCAATTTACTCTCGATTTCAGGTGTGCAATCTCTCAGGATATTATGGTAGGTAATATAACCTGTTGTAATATCCCTAGTCATCACCCAGCCCCCTCCCCCCTGAAATTCATAAAAAGAAGAGGGGTAAGCCATGTCTCGGTGGTTAAGCATGAAAAGTTTAGAGAAAGCTAAATAAACGCCCATTTTTCTGTAGACACTTAGCACGGCTGCACAAGAGATACATTAAACTCAAAACTCAAATTAGGTATATTTGTTTTATGCAAGAAAAGCTCATGAAAGAATGTTTTACTATCACAAAGTTTGTTGCTTGCATACGCACAATTGACACCGCCGATCGGCATACAGCACAAACGTTTGTTCCGTGAAAGCATGTTTCTAACACCGACATGTTCTTTTCCCTAGAAAAAAAAAAGAGCTAACAAGAAAATACAGTAGAACCTCGTTGATACGTTTTTCAGGGGACCGCGGAAAAAAAGCGTATCAACCGGGAAAGCGCAGCAACCGATAACGCACTTAAAGGCACTCTATATAAGATAGAAAGCAGCTCTTATGCAATGGTTTATTTTATGCACTTACCGAACTCTTTTGGACTCAGACACGTTCACAAAAACGCGTAATATCCACCTGCCGCTTCGAATTAATGGTATGCAGTAAAAGTCGTTTCTCCAGAAGCCGCAGTCCCCTCTCTCTCCGCGCAGTCATGAACGTTTACGTAGCGGCGCAAGGTGTCCAACGCAGCGATCGCGTCCGCAAACGTGGGTGCAGCGTAATCGTTGGTTTTTTGTTCGTCTTCTTCATCACTTTCTTCGTTGTCGGCAGTAGTGAGGTCGGCCACAATGTCCGCTATGCTCGATATCCGAACGATCAGCAATCTCTTGCGCCTTCTCTCGCAGAATGCCTCCGTCGATGTTGACACAAGATGCCCGGGCTTGTTTGAACCATACCAACAGGGCCTCCTCTAACTTTGCGTGTTTTGCCCCCCGAGCCTGTTTAAAGCCTGGTTGGTAGAAAGGAGCCTTCGCCTCGATCTCCTTTCGTCTCGCGACGACACTGTTTAAGTTGACGGCGCGAGTCCAAGCTCTCTTGCGACCTCAGACCTCTTCCGGCTGGGATTTCGATCCACCGTGCGAAGTATGTCAAACTTCTCTTTAAAAGAGAGTGCTTTTCTTTTTCGGGATGTCATGGCCGTCGTCAACGCGCACGCACTCAGAAACGGCACTGTTCACGCAGTCGAGCTGTCGAGCGCAACAGAAACTGGAAGTGCAGCCAGTGGGGTGAAGCTCCCGGCTACTTCCGTCCCGCCGCGTATACTTATGACGTTTGTCCGGTCCGGCAAACTGCTTCCGATTGCCGCGCTCCCAGCGGCTGTTGGCACTTGTTATTTTATTTTAAATAAAATTGATTCATATATTTAATGATGCGAAATAAAGGTGAAGTTGTTTTGAAGGTGTGAATGGCTTTGAAGCTTGTTATTGTAACTTTCTCTTTCACTCTTTCAACGTGTCTGGGCGCGCTTTCTCTCTCTCCGAACCCGCGCCTCGCGCCTCGAGATGCGCTGGCCGCTGGCGCCGGGAAGTCGGTGGACCGTTAGAACGCGCGAGGGTCGCGAGCCGGCGAGTTGTTTCGCTTCTAGGAGTGCGTCGCGGCGCGAGATTCGTCCCGCGTTCGTGCGCGCGCGGCTATCTTTTCTTTTTCGTGGGAACTTGTTGTTGGTGTAATATGATCAAGCATGGATTTTCGTCATCAACACACCACCTGATGCGCCAAGTGGGGAAACAATGACTGCCGAAAGCCGGGATATCAATGGTTTCGAGTTCGAATGGACGTGCGGTACGCTCTTTTGGTCTTCTCTTGCTTAAGTTTCTGATTAAATGTTTGCAACAAAACCTAACTGTCGCAGTAGTAGTGAGTATTAATTGTTTGATTTTGGCAATAGCTACGATGGTTTCCAATCACAAAACCAAATCCTCTCATTGTTCAGGATTGCTCTTCACTCGCCGCGAGAAATAAGTCATTGTCAAATTACTGGAGACTTCTGTGTAGACTTTGTCATATCAAGATCGAGTACATATGCTCACTTTAAAAGATGGCAAACTTTTTGCTGTGAGCTGTTTATTTGGCACTGTTGTCAGCGATTCACGCGTCTGTTCGCCAGGAGTGAAAATATGAGCCTAAATATTTTTCGATTAACTGAGGATGAGCGATAGAGCGATCCGCTCTGGTTTCCCGTTTCGTTTAGCAGTGACTCACTCCTAAATTTAATTGATAATATTAAAAACGAATGGGCAGGTTCTCGATGAAGACTCAATACCAAAGAGCTGAGCTGTTTTTCTTGGTACTCATTGCTTAGTTTCTTTTAGTTGCAATTAAGACACCGTCGTCGGTCTTTACTTATATGCTTACTTATATAATCAAATTTGCAAGGACGCATGTCATCACCTTCGTCACACGTAACCTTAACGTTTTATCCTGTTTTGTTGTTCATTTCTTTGTTTCTCGTGTGCAAAGCAGTGAGAAATTTCGTCTGTATTTTCTGTCTGTTGAATAAAAATGAACGCAAAAGGACAAGCATTGCATATTTTTTGTGTATGTGTCACTTTCGTTGCTTTGCTAGGTTTCTGCTGCTTTGCTGCTGGTCTCGCTTTTCAGTGCTGGCTTGTGTGCGTTTCAACGCACATTAACCAGCATTGAAATGCGAAAACCAGCCGCAAAGCAGCAGAAGCCTAGCAAAGCAACGCGCAAACCGGGCAAAAAAAAAAAAAAAGCTACAATACATATATTTTTAACTCTAGGTGGCGCAAGCTACCGCCCATCCATCCAAACACAATGGCGCTGCCGTGCAGTTTCGGTTTTGGTTTCGCTGTGCCGCCATGTTGGTTTTAGTACAGCCACCAGATACCAGGGGATTCAAATGGCGCTGCGGCCTCCCAGGGTTTTCCAATTTGCGTTCCATGGGCGGTATAGGAAGTTGCACTCCTCTGGTGCAGCGTCCCGGCGTGCGTGCGGCGCGTAAACAACTCGCGCCGGAGAGAGAGGACAGACGAAAAGAAAGAGCAAGAGAGAACGAGCGTTTCGCAGAGCTCAGCAAAGCCTAGTGAGGAGACCGGGAAAGAGGGTGTAAGTAGTAAAGGTAAAGGGAAGGGGGGCGCCCGCGCGATCCGCGCTGCGTGGTTCGGCTGCGTGGCACCTTGGCGCACGGCGCGCCGAGGCGCCGCGATTCCGGCACTTTTGGACGTAACAACCGGGAAAGCAAACGTAACAGGCAGGAAACTAATACATGTATCTCTATGGAAGTAAAACGGGACCGGCGTTTTTGAACGCAACGGACAGGAAAACGTATCAACCAAGAACGTATCAACGAGGTTCTACTGTAGAAAAATCGACCAGGCGCAACAAGTGAACGAGCGAGCGGACAAAAGTAGCGATGCTGGTGAAGCGGGAAAGCCGGCGATTGCATTGGCAAATACTTTGAGGTTGTGCCAAGTTGGGTGCTTTGTCAATCAGAAGGAGGAGGCTCTTGTGCAACTTTCTTGTTAGGTGCATGCATGCAGGGGCGGATTTAGAGGGGGGGTCCGGATGTCCTGACCCCCCCCCCCTTGATTTCTGCATGTGTAACTTTTAGGGAGTGAAACAAGGGAGAGGGGGTTCCTAAACAAACGGTACGCTGACCAACACCTGACCCCCCCTCAGGAACTTCCTGCATCCACCCCTGCATGCATGCGAGTGTCCGTGCACGGCGTGCCATCAACGCGGGTTGAGGCGGTGTTGCTGTGTGGCACGGGCAGCACCACGAACACGGAACTCGAAGTGGGATGCTTTACAGACGTCTGTGTGCGGCGTTCCAGCAAATCTTTATTTATCCATAGGCTTTGTATTAAAAAGGCACTGACACGTCAAAATAATTTTTTTTTTTTATTATCCAAAACGACTGAAAACGATCTCTGGTCATTACCCTCAAAATTCGAAACTTGGGAATTCAGTAGGTATTTGTGAAGTAAAAAAACAATTTCCAAATGCTGACTTTGAAGTTCCCGCGCGATCCACACCAGTGCAGTGACGTCAAATATTAAGCTCTCCTGCGAATCGAGTTTCTCTAACTCCTCCAAACTACCGCCACCCGGAGTGTCGTGTTTGCCGGCGTCCAGCGAACAATCGGTTTTCTCCGTATGTGCCGCCTATCGCTGCGAGCAGACGATGCTTGACTTTCGAGTGTGAAGTTCTTTTAGGCCCTTTCAGCGATCTCAACTTTGAAACGGTGTGAGGTCGAAGAAAATGCGCAGTAGACTTTTGAGAGCGCTTGAGGGGTCATGTCGCACCGGTTCTGCATCAAAGGCTGCCCTGGCGGAGTCACAACCGAAACTGCGATACACAGACACAAAACCCAGTTGTTCTGAT